GGTCTTGTTGTGGTCTCGTCTCTATTGGTCCGAACACGCTCCTTGTGCTATATGTTCGAAAACTCTCGTCGTTCTTGTGTTCGAACACTCTTCTTGTACTGATGTGTGAACTCTCTCTCTCTCCTCACAGTGATGTGTGAACTCTCTCTCTCTCTCTCCTCACAGTGATGTGTGAACTCTCTCTCTCTCTCTCTCCTCACAGTGATGTGTGAACTCTCTCTCTCCCTCTCCTCACAGTGATGTGTGAACTCTCTCTCTCTCTCTCCTCACAGTGATGTGTGAACTCTCTCTCTCTCTCTCCTCACAGTGATGTGTGAACTCTCTCTCTCTCTCCTCACAGTGATGTGTGAACTCTCTCTCTCTCTCTCTCCTCACAGTGATGTGTGAACTCTCTCTCTCTCTCTCTCTCCTCACAGTGATATGTGAACTCTCTCTCTCTCTCTCCTCGCAGTGATGTGTGAACTCTCTCTCTCTCTCTCTCCTCACAGTGATGTGTGAACTCTCTCTCTCTCTCTCTCTCCTCACAGTGATATGTGAACTCTCTCTCTCTCTCTCTCCTCACAGTGATGTGTGAACTCTCTCTCTCTCTCTCCTCACAGTGATATGTGAACTCTCTCTCTCTCTCTCTCCTCACAGTGATGTGTGAACTCTCTCTCTCTCTCTCTCTCTCCTCACAGTGATATGTGAACTCTCTCTCTCTCTCTCCTCGCAGTGATGTGTGAACTCTCTCTCTCTCTCTCTCCTCACAGTGATGTGTGAACTCTCTCTCTCTCTCTCTCTCCTCACAGTGATGTGTGAACTCTCTCTCTCTCCTCACAGTGATGTGTGAACTCTCTCTCTCTCCTCACAGTGATGTGTGAACTCTCTCTCTCTCCTCACAGTGATATGTGAACTCTCTCTCTCTCTCTCTCCTCACAGTGATGTGTGAACTCTCTCCTCGTAATAAAGTGTTGCTACTAATTAATGTTCCGTGTTATTGTAGTTATTGTTACTTGTATTACAATATACTTGTTTAAATAAAAATGGATGGATTAGGTAATCTGCACACTGGGAGATATAATAATTACTTATCTCTGTGAGTAGCTAAAATTGTTGGAGATCTGTTAGTATCTCTCTCTCTCTCTCTCTCTCTCTCTCTCTCTCTCTCTCTCTCTCTCTCTCTCTGTTTCAAATATGATTTGAAAAATATAAAATAAATTGTTTAAATTAACGATTTACAGATTTTCTTAATTTTAATTCCTAAATGTGTAAACATTTTCTCTCTGTTTTGTGTATTAACTCGCTACAATGAATCGTTCTCCATCTCTTATCTGTAACGTGTCAGAGTGTACACTCCCCCAGTCCAAGCTTAATTCTGTGTTGAGTTAGTAGTTAACAAGAGTGAGCGCCAAGCCCAGAAACCTATATATCACTGTGCCTGAGAACATTCAAGAGTACTTAGATATTCAGTACGTGAGAATGAGGGTAGAAAGACATCTGACGATGATGTCAAAGGAATCAGATTCGCCGAGGAACACCTCGGACACCTGAGGGACACCTGACCCGAAAGAACAGTTGGAAAGCATAATTTCCGATGATGCTGAAAATTAGGACACTCTACGAGGAGACGCTGTTGTCAGAATAATGCCGCTGTGGGAGCAGGGTTGAGGTCACTGCGCCGTGAGGGACTCGTGAAATAGTCGTTCGTTGTCAATACATAACCTACCCGGAGACGTCTCCTGCTCCCAGTACCACGACGGCAACACAAAGACGACCACGTAATTTGTGACTTGTAACAGCTAATCTTCCCAGTGGCTGCGGGCGGTGTTATGGGTAACCGGTAACAGTACGAGTAACGGATTCGCTTCTGGAAGGGAGGGGGGTACACGGCGTCGTTCATACAAGCATCATAGAGGCTTCCGTAAGGAATAGAAAGCTGGATGACTTAGAAGTCACCACGATAGCAAGTGGGAGGGAAGGGGAGGGAGTTTTGGGATCAGTGTAGCCTTCAGGGAGCGAAGGACTAGAACAACAGAATGGGACCAGCGAAAGAGCTCCGCTCCCACGTAAGATCTTGGAAGAGGGATCGACGCACGGTCTTGGTGGCCGGCCAAGAAGTTGAGAAATGATAAGGCACAGACCAAGATAACACACCTCAGTGCCGGGCCGCAACCTGTCCTCTTAAAAAGAACGTCGCTTTTGGCTGTTTGCCCGTATGGCCGAATTTGGACGTAATTTGAAAATGAAAAAAATGAAAATAAATTTGGGATTTTTTTTTCCACAACAGTAAGTTAAGGGTTCTCTGATAGGTTAGGTGGGCAGGAAATTCTCATAAAGTTTCAAAACGTTATGAAAAACGTTAATTTAAAGTGTCCTCTTATAACCTCTGCGCGTACGCCGGACGACTCAAATAGAAAACGGAAGAGAAAGTCACTTTTGTGAGTCGATTTCATTTCAAATTACGTCCAAATTTGGCCATATCGCGCATACGATCCAAAAGTGACGTTATTTTTAAGAGGACGGGTTGCCCAATCACCCACTGTGACGGCCAACATGGAGAGACATTTACACGGCCTCAGAGGTAACAGGGTGAGCATATACGGACAACCAGTGGAAGGCTGATTCGCAAGATAAGGATCGATAAGGATCAATGCCCACATTACCTAAGCCCTGTTAGACCTGCAAACCAGACTAGCCGATTAGTTCATCTAGTTTGCTCGGCTTAGTTTGAATATATTAAACAATTTATGAGTTCCGAGGCACTCTGAGGTAGTTTAACCATGGGCTTGCATATATATATGTATATATATATATATATATATATATATATATATATATATATATATATATATATATATATATATATATATATATATATATATATATATATATATATATATGTTTCATTGAATATGACCGCATATTCTGTATTTATTATTTTCTGGTTTAGGGCTTCTATCCCTCTAACTATTTTCTTAGCATCAGGGCTTAATTTCAATTAAGCCCTGATGCTAAGAAAATAGTTAGAGGGATAGAAGCCCTAAACCAGAAAATAATAAATACAGAATATGCGGTCATATTCAATGAAACATGTTTGAAAGAAAACCTGCTGCCAGTATACACCAATATATATATATATATATATATATATATATATATATATATATATATATATATATATATATATATATATATATATAGTTTCCAAGCTCGTAAAGCAGTTAATAGAGACTGAGCTGTCATGATCAAGGAAAGATATACAGGCTTCGTAAGTGGACACGTAAATACTTGGTGAATCTTAGTGAAGACCCAACCAAGTGGGCTCTCTCTCCCGGCAAGAGCCCGGCGGGGCTCTCTGAGCACCACGATAGTGTTGCTACAAGGAGAGGGGGAACTTTGTGCTGATTTAATCACTTTACAGATAAAGTCCATTTTTTTCCGATGCATTTTAATTTGGCTAGAAGCAGTGGCTCTCCTGCCGCGGTTGATGCTGCTGTCCTCTTGTATAGATTATAGAATTGTGAAAATATTCGTAAGTTTGTTGTTGTTAAAGATCTGCCACTTGGAACAAGCAGTTCCAAGTGCACGGGCTATGGTGAGCCCGTAGTATTATTCGTAAGTGTGTGTGTTTCACTTTGTTCTAAGTTCCTGATGTTCTGATCTTGTGTCACGGATAATTTATGTGTTTATTGGTGTGTTGCGTGTCTTCTCCGCGGAGATTGACATTTGTCTTTCTGTGTTGTAAATAAGGAATTTTTCATATTTTTGTCTTAAGATATATATTCGTCTATTGAGGATTAACCTTTATCTTACTCTGATAATTATTCACGTTCTTCATTATTGCTGATATTTCTCCCTTGTGAATGCATTCATATTCTTCATTACTAGTGAATATTCTGTTCTTGTGACGTATTCATCTTTCATGCACATTAATCAATATACATCTTTATTAAAAAGTATTCATAATGTATGCTTTCGTCAAGATTATTTTAATTAGTTTTTTATGAATTATTCGTAACTAACTTTTCAAAGTGTCTCCTTTGATATATATCTTAATTTATTATGTTTAATTCAGAACAAATATTGATGGTATTAGTAAGTTAGGTTAGGTTAGGTTAGGTTAGCTGATAATTAGATTAAGGTTGGTTAGTTGTTGATTAGTTTAAGTTAGGTTAGCCTAGCTGTTGAATAGATTAGGGTAGGTCAGCTGTTGATTAGGTTAGGTCAGCTGTTGATTAGGTTAGGTCAGCTGTTGATTAGGTTAGGTCAGCTGTTGATTAGGTTAGGTTAAGATAACCAAACCACGCATCAGGAAGATGTAGAAACAACGACATTTCGGTCCATCCTGGATCTTGATAACGGTTCAGGACGGACCGAATAATGTTGGACCATTACACCGAACAGCTAACCTAACCTAACCTTAGGTTAGGTTAGGTTAGCTGTTACGGTTAGGTGTTATGGTTATCTGTTAGGTTAGCTTAACCTTAACTAACAGGGAATCTAACCTTAGGTAAGGTTAGGTTAGTTGTTGGTTAACTAGTTAGTTGTGGTATACGAGAGGAAGGTTGAGTGCTTGTGGGCAAGGAGGAGAGAGAGAGATAAGGAGAGATGACAACGAGAGACTAGGATTAGGATGTGAGACTTAGACGAGGGATGAGAATTAGAAACTAAAATGATAGATGAGACTTGAATGAGGGATGAGGAAGAGGATTACAGAGAGGAAGAATGATGTTTCAGCAGGGGCAGATAACAGGCATCTCGGTGTAAAGTGAAATGTCTGAAATCACAGGAGTGAACGGCGATAATTTGGCGTTTACTTCCTCTAACCAGCCATTTTTCTTTTTGGTTACCCCCTGTGACAACTGTCTCTCTCTCTCTCCCTCTCTCTCTCTCTCTCTCTCTCTCTCTCTCTCTCTCTCTCCCCCCCCCCCCCCCAACTCGCTTCTCACTCTCCCTGACTGCTTTCAAAACTTGGAAACTTGTTCATACGTCTCTTTTTTTTCTCGCCCCGTCTCCAACAGCTACGGACGCCGGCTGTTTGGCGGGAAAAGAGAGTCCCTGTGTTCGGAAGTGACCACCATGACTACATTCGTCGCTAACGGCTACAACCCCGTCAGCACGCAGACTGGGCCGCCCCAACAACCACCTCTCCAGCAGCAGCAGCAGCAGCAGCAGACAGCACCAGCAGCACCACCGCAAGCGCCACTAGTCGGCCAACTCAATTTTCGCAATTCCAACGCCGGTTTGACCCAGAGTTACGGGGAACCGGACAGCAAGGCCAGTCTTAGAGATTCCTTGCTGTAAGAGCCTGAAGAGATGGACTTGCTTAGGGATTGCTTGAAGTAAGATCCCTGGGCTGTAAGAATTGGAAGATCCTAGGATTGGGCTATAATAGAAATTACTAGCCGAGAGAGATCCTAGGACCAGAGGATTGAGTTGTATTTTTATTTATATAAGAACATAGGACAGGAAATACGATCAAAAATTTATTGTTTGTTAACAATGGAAGAATGAGGATGGTCAGTATGAAAATCCAAATATGGAATAGGAACCTCAGTTTATACAATATACCTTTTGTAACGATTTCTTTATATGTAACGAGATAAGTTGTCGAGTTTAAGCCTTGCCAACCCTTGGACGGTCATTAAGGCCTCTGTATAGGCCTACAGAGCATGTACACTTTACCACCAACACGTTTCACCAAACAGCATGTATACTTTACTCCTGAACATAATTCGGCACTAATATACATACTCGCTATGTGTATATATATACACACCGAGGAACGAGACATGACAGGCAGATACTTAGACAAAATAAAAGAACTGCTCACTCGATGTGGGGAAAAAATACGATGTCAACAAAGGAATTTCGGTTTCAGTCAAGTGGTTGTTCACTTGCCACTAAAGTGGAAGGCACTTTAGCGGCAATTGGTGTTCGTCTGACGATGTTGAGTGAGGCGGGCACGCAGCTGTGGCGGGCAAGGTGTTACGTCCTCTGTGTACCGGCCTTCTGTCACACCCAAGACATACACTCCCACCAAACACTGAATAAAATTAAATCGTTACTATGCACTACCCAGCACACACACATACACACACACACACACACACACACACACACACACACATATACACACACACACACACACACACACATACACACACACACACACACACACATGATAAACTGTTTAACACGAGGGTTACGCGAACAAGGGGACACAGGTGGAGACTGAGTACCCAAATAGCCACAGAGCCATTAGAAAGAACCTTTTCAGTGTCAGAGTAGTTAACAGGTGGAATGCATTAGGCAGTGATGTGGTGGAGGCTGACTCCATACACAGTTTCAAATGTAGATATGATAGAGCTCAGTAGGCTCAGGAGTCTGTACACCTGTTGATTGACAGTTGAGAGGCGGAACCAAAGAGCCAAAGATCAACCTCCGCTAGCACAAATAGGTGAGTACAAATAAGTGAGTACACACACTATCAAACAGAGTGGTAGACGGTTGGAACAAGTTAGGTGAGAAGGTGGTGGAGGCCAAAACCGTCAGTAGTTTCAAAGCGTTATATTTGATAAAGAGTGCTGGGAAGACGGGACACCACGAGCGTAGCTCTCATCCTGTAACTACACTTAGGTAATTACACACAAACAGTTTCAAAAGTAGATATGATAGCGCCAAATAGGCTCATGAATCTCTACGCCAGTTGAAATGACAGTTGAAAGGCGTGACCCAAGAGCCAAAGCTCAACTTCCGCAAGCACAATTAGGTGACTACACACACACAGTTGACAACGCTTGGGGGTTGCTGTCCTAGGGGCCCGGGTTCGATTCCCTTCCGAGGCAGAAACAAATGACCAGAATTCCTTTCACCCCTGATGCACCTGTTCACCAAACACCAAATAGCTTCCTGGGCGTTAAGACACCAGCTACGGGTTGCTTCCTGGCGATGTGTGCGTGTGTTAGAGATAAATACATAAAGTAAAGTAGGTATAATAGAAAGAAAAAATAGATTGGCTAAAAATTCGGGCAAATAGCTCGATCCTGCAGGCACGCATAGTAAATATATACATTTATTTACATAGTAAATAAGTTTCCTGGTAATCGTGGCCATTAAGTGAGCAGAGACAGAGGGAAAAGAAAATGTGTTACAATAAGTTGAATTTTGTGTCCTTGTATCCACATATATCAAAGTTAGAAGGTTCTACAGCTGAAGGGGAAACCATTCTAACTTACTTGTGAAGAAGGAGAATATTTAGATATCTTTACAACCTGGGACAATATGATGCTAAGGAGTCATTTATAGCAAGAAGACTAACTGAAATCTTAACGAGTTGTGGCAGTGAGTGATAACCGCAGCAGTAAGAATGATAACCGCGGCAGTGAGAATGATAACCGCGGCAGTAAGAATGATAACCGGGGCAGTGAGAATGATAACCGCGGCAGTAAGAATGATAACCGGGGCAGTGAGAATGATAACCGCGGCAGTAAGAATGATAACCGCGGCAGAGAGAATAGTAACCGCGGCAGTAAGAATGATAACCGCGGCAGAGAGTGATAACCGCGGCAGTGAGAATGATAACCGCAGCAGTAAGAATGATAACCGCGGCAGTGAGTGATAACCGCAGCAGTAAGAATGATAACCGCGGCAGTGTGAATGATAACCGGGGCAGTGAGAATGATAACCGCGGCAGTAAGAATGATAACCGGGGCAGTGAGAATGATAACCGCGGCAGTGAGAATGATAACCGCGGCAGTGAGAATGATAACCGCAGCAGTGAGAATGATAACCGCAGCAGTGAGAATGATAACCGCGGCAGTAAGAATGATAACCGCAGCAGTAAGAATGATAACCGCGGCAGTGAGAATGATAACCGCGGCAGTGAGAATGATAACCGCGGCAGTGAGAATGATAACCGCGGCAGTGAGAATGATAACCGCATCAGTGAGAATGATAACCGCGGCAGTGAGAATGATAACCGCAGCAGTGAGAATGATAACCACAGCAGTGAGAATGATAACCGCAGCAGTGAGAATGATAACCGCAGCAGTGAGAATGATAACCGCAGCAGTGAGAATGATAACCGCAGCAGTGAGAATGATAACCGCAGCAGTGAGAATGATAACCGCAGCAGTAAGAATGATAACCGCTGCATTAGCAGTGATAACCACAATAGTCTCAATGATCACATAAGTGAACAACAACAGTAAACATGGAGACTATATACACCGCTTCAAATGACCTCATTCCCCTCATTAACAATTACGAAAATAAATGAATTATCGACCAGTTAATTAATTGATTAACTAATTTATTAATTAACAGAAAGACACTGTAGCTCATCCGTGTTTACACGTTGGTGTAAATGACCCACTTACATATGTGACTCTTGAATACCTTACATATGTGACTTTTGAATACCTTATATATGTGACACCTGAATACCTAACATATGTGACACCTGAGTATCTTACCCTAAACACAATCACAAACGTGAGAGTAGATTTGCCCTCGTATGCCCTACATACGAGGGCAATTAAGTCATATGTGCCAAGAAAATATAAACACGAGAAAATGGGATTCGTAGCACAGTCGTATTTCAACACCAGAACGTGAGATGCATTGTGCGGTGGTAAAACTCATTACTGCTCATGTGACAATTTGCACAAATGAACAAGAAACATTTTGGCACCACTGAGCCCCACAGACTGAAATACAATGCGTGACCGAGACCATTCTAAATGGGGGAGGTGTTAGTGTTGAATAGGGAATGGTCGACAAATCCTTCACGGCGACTAGAAAGCAATACCGAGCCGAAACTTGAAAAATAAGGAGAGGTTTGTGTCTATGAGAGAAAAACTGAATACTACAGAAAAGTCTATATTAGCTGAGTGCTTAATTAAATCAGCAATAAAGGGCGAACGAGGCTTTGGTTATTCGCTCACGAGGCAAACATCGTTAGTTGAAAACCTTCACACGTGAACTAAACTACTTTGTAGGCAACCATTTCTCGTCTATGTTCATACTGACAAGGTCAAACAAATAAAATAAAATGAACACAAGTGTTTCTGGTTAAGTGAGTGGATATCTTAAGATACTATTGTATATAGAAAGGACACTCTCAATGCTTAATATCTCACCGCTATGAAGGAATGCAAAAATTCTTGTTACTGTATCATACATGTCTAGTGATGGTTATGCTGAGAAAAGCCATAATGGGTTGAACTGGATAGCTGTAGATGGATCTAACAGGCTGCTAGGGGGGGGGGGGGCTTGTCTGACTAACAATTGTAATACTAAGTTTAATAAATAATTAAGATGATTGAAAAATGCCATATGCCATATACAGAAATATCACACAGTGTAATTACTTGTGATTATCGCCAACTGTGAGTCGTTGTTATTAATTTGTAAAGATAATACTGTACATGAAAAAACATCAGTTGGAAATGGTAATCAATCATGAGATGTTCTCAGTTGCTGTCTGTGATATATATATATATATATATATATATATATATATATATATATATATATATATATATATATATATATATATATATATATGTGTGTGTGTGTGTGCATATTATATATATATATATATATATATATATATATATATATATATATATATATATATATATATATATATATATATATATATATATATATATCAATTCAATAGCGATTGCCGGCAAAGTGGTAACGCAGGTTCAAATCCTGGTCCGGTTATATATATATATATATATATATATATATATATATATATATATATATATATATATATATATATATATAGGCAACTATGAATTTGCATTATAAGAAAAGCATTTTGTGGAAAAAACATGTAAAAAAAAAACTTCATCTGTTTAGAAAATCATATTTAACGTTGAAACAATTATCCAATTTTTTTAAGATAAAATTTATTATAATATTTAAAGATAATATAATTTTTTTCCCACGTATGGCACAGCCAATCATGATTATTAACTGTATATACTAGGATTTATTACGAAGACAGAGGGGGAAACTTTTGTACAGAATAGATATCGTTTTCTATAACTCAAGTTTAGCCTTAGTGAGATACTTATCATATGATTATGAGAATACGACATTTAAAACGAATACTATATTTAAATGTTTTAGAAGAGAAATCTAGGAGAGAAATTTAGGGTTCAAAGCCAATATGAATTAAGGTACATGCTCATTACTTTTGTCAAAAAACAAATTCAATGCACATTAAAGAAAATGGGCACATAATTTGGGACAAGTATCACATACTGGGGCCAGTGATATTCATTTGGGTAAGGGAACAATATATATATATTTAGAATAAGAGATTCTATGTTAAGGTAAATGGACCACCTACCAGTGGGAAATAGAGATATTTTAGGGTAAGACCCGTGTACATTGAGGTTGGGGAGTTCTGCGTTTGATCGCTTTACGGAGATGCAAGTCATATATATTTTTGTGTAGAAGTGTACATAAAATTTGTATGTAAATATTCCACTAAACTGGTGCTGTATCACTCGTGCTCTATCCCAAAGACAAATCATAAGACTTTTACTTCATTTTGTTTCAAATTATTAGCAAATTACTGTACATTATTGGTGTTGTTAACATTATTATTGTGTTAGGGCATTGCTACTGAAGCCAAGCCGTTGATATATGTTTAAAGCAAAAACGTATAAATGCATGCATGTGTGTTAACATGTATATAAATGGATCTGCTTATTTTTTCTTAAATGTTACTTCTTGAGATCCAAGCAGCGAAAGCCCGCTTTGAGTACATATGGGGTGATGTACTGAAAACGACTGGCTTTCAATTACAGCGACTGTTCGCGTGGCCAATTTATAATGTGTGTAGCATCACTGCATATATTAGTTTCAATAACATAACAAGGGATTATTATTCTCATCTGTTGGAAGAAGTTTATGTCACTATATCATCATATCATCACCGGTGTCGTCATAAGCTTTATATACAAACATATAATGATACCGGTATAGAAATATAGTGTTGAACGATAGGGCTTGACTGCTGTTCTGTAATTATGTTATGTTACTGATGACATGCGTTTATATTGTTCCAGCTTGCTACTAATTCTTGCTTATTGTAAACATGTTATGGTAATGTCATTTTTATTCAGTATTAATTGAAATATAGTTGTGATATATATAGATT